TGTTTTATCAACCCCATTTAATTTGCAAATCAGAGCGCTTGTCTTGTAAGTATTTCATCTAACAGTGTTATCTCGTAGCTCTCTTAGCAAATCACACAGAGCAAGTTGGTTCCATGCTGTATTTTTATGCTGTGGTAGTTAGAGGTAAATACCGTTTTTCACAATACCATTCATTCACTTGACGGTTAGTTATCAATCAGTTTATCAGTAAATCACTCATATTCTCGAATTAGCATTGCAAAATAATGTGGACTTGATAATTCTCTAGTACTACTTGTTCTTTCTTCATGTCAGTTTTAATTTGGGCTTTAGATAAAGGAAAGAAGCAGAAGGAACCGAAATGAAAAAAAAATATTGCAGACATTCCGATGGAACTGGGTCTGAGAATTCGCAAGCACCTTAATGCCACCAATTTGGTAAATTTGTGCCAAGCAATTCCGAAGTGGGATTAAATACTCAATACTTGGCCATACCCCCATTTTATAACTGGGGCTTTAGAGGATTGGAAGTGGCTTGACAAGCACCTCTGTCAGCTGCTTTTAAGTGAAGATAATGAAGTCTCTTTTAGCAATGCACTTGCGGCAACAGTGCATCACAATGAACAAGATGCAATTTTTAAGGGACTGTTGCGTACAGAGTTCTCTGAGCACATACAGAGGCCTGTAAGTTGTTTGTTCTTCGTATTAACTTCTGCTGCAAGTTGGTCTCGAAGCAACACAAAACGGTACTATTGCAACTTACAGGTGGTAAATTCCGGCCCTCCAACACGCATCTTCTTCGATGTGGTTAGTGACGAGACGCACTCTCAGTGCAGTTGGCAATACTCTTCAGGCACGTAACATGGAAGTCTTCTACAAAAATTGCCAGATATCGTGGAATCAAGAATGCAGTTGGAGGAAAGGTGTCTTGCAGACTACGACTGCGTAATAGTAGATGCCGATCACGTGGATGCTTTTCGAATGTATGCAGGCATGGATGACCTTTTGGGTAGTATGACACCTTGCCAAACATTCATCACGACTGGTTCGTTGCTCTACATCAAGGACCTCGTAAGCAATCTCGGCTGCATGAAAGAGATGTTTTGGATCCTAGGTGGTTTTGAGTTCTCTTCACTTTTTCACATCTCTACCAATTTGCGAATTTAATGCAATCAGCGTCAAAAGCAACATGACAAGGATGGTGCGATATGCCTGCCTCGGTATCTTCTGGAGAAGAAATAGACCACTATACCGCTGAGTGTGATTAATTAAGTCATATTTTTAAGCTTGAATTCGTTTTTTTGTTCAGAACCTACAATGCAATGGTTATTTTAATCTATCGATATTTGGAAAAAACTGGTTTTCCCTACCAGTAGGTAGACGTAGAGAGCCATCACAAATTCCTTGCAACTAATATGTGGACAATAAAGGATATCATTGTGGTAGTGATACGTAGTGTTTATCTGGGCTTATTCTTATTCATTGTCGATGTCTTCACGAAGTTTCTTCCATGGAGGCGAAATAGAATAAACAAAGACATTTCTCATTACACTGTGAAGAAAACCGACGATGGCCTGACCATGTGGTCTACCCTAACAAATCATAGGTGTGTCATGCAATACTGTTTGATTTATGTAACGCATCAGCTTCTTTTTATCATAAGGCTGACAGCATTGTGAGGTAATGCTTAAGACATCACCTTTTTATTCATGCAATGGATGAGGTAGTAGTATGTGATGGAACTATCGAAGATGAAAAATTGCTTAAAATAAATGCTGGACGGGATTGAAGCAGACAATCTCACTTGGTGCTGCAGATGTCCGCAATTTCAAATATCGTTCATGTTTTTTAGATTTGTTTGTTGTAGCAGATAGTTTAAGAACATTTAGTGAATTGCGCACTTAATCTCTTCCATGTGGCTGAAGCCCTACTTTAGGTGTGCTAATAGTCACTCTAAGACATGGGTAATCCACTGCTATAAGTATACATAACTAAGACCACTGGCTGTCCTAGTTGTAGTCGAAGGTCCAGCCTCACTCAAATTCTAGTGCAGACTCTGACGCAGTATTACTCAGCCTCTTGCAGTATCAGCTAGGCGATGACCGAGCCCTACTCGCTCAGGACACCTTTGCGTTTACTTATTTGCATTCATCATTTAAGCTATACACCTGCTTTGAGGTCTTGCCCATTGATTATCTAGTTGGTGGCATCTAGCAAAAGTAAGAGGCAGCGATGTGCATGACCTACAAAGGATGTTTTATTTTTATCTGAAGTAGTACAAAGTAGTTCAAAGAGCCATATAGACTGACTAAGTTCAAAGCGTAAGATGTTGACTCGGACTACTTAATAAAGAAAAATTCAGTAACACTATTTAGAAATAGAAAAAAGATAAAGTTATTAAGCTCTGCGAGTGACCTCACACCCTTAAGTGCGTTATTCATAATAACTAAGTGTTCGTAAACGACATTATCTGAGAGGTTTAACACGAACCAGTGAAGAGCGCATCAGGTAAATGGATAAGCGTAGTGTAAGGAGGCACGCTCTTACGTCAAAAATTTGAGTACTTTAAAATTGTATTGATTTGACCAGAAAAATGAAAGGACTTCAGAAAATTTATTGGTATATTATTGTTATTATTCCAACTATAATGAGCATTTGTGTCGCTTTCACAGGAGGAAAAGGGGCATATAATTAGTAAAATGTAGTTGAGATTGGGTTCGATTTTATAAATGAACATAAAAATTTGTTTGAAATCAGCCAAAATGTGACATATGGATCAAAATCTGCGACGTGAACAAAGTACTTAATAATAAGTCCTCCCACGCGGGTCATGTCGTGACGAAGGTGTGAGTTGCGATCGCTCATGTGATTTAAATATTACAATGTAGCGGTCAGTAATTACAGACATTGCATGGTTATGCCATTGTCTATTGACGCCGACTTAAACACTACTAAAAAAAATTACTCTTAAGCAGACATAGCAAATCTACTTCTCACAATTCATCCACCGCCACTAATCATTTGTTAGTAGTTTGGCATATTTGTTATATGTATTGACTGGGTTATCGACATGGTGGTTATATGATATATAGTGAGAATGGCAGTAAGTATGGTCAACGATGGCATATATAATGCTCAAATTAAAATAAAACCAATAAAATATCAAGGCCAAATCTTGGTACATAACCAAGTTTCCTGATCAAATCAGAATTTTTAATGTTATCAAAAACCTTGTTCACTACGAATCACTAATTCCTCAGCCTATTGAACTACACACAGGGTTTGCTTCCACTTGCAACCTGCGGGCCTCTGCCTCATCATTCGTGCCCACAGCATACTATACTGACATCCTCGGCCACATCGTCTCTCTTACCTCAGCACTACACATTAGTAATTCTCTTCCTTCATCTCCTTCCATCAATACCCGCTGTCCTCCGCAACTTGCCGCATTCTAAATACTGCTTTTGTCCTATGGCATTATCACCCATCCCTGCATAATTACCAATTATCATTCTGTATCAGCTTTACTCTATTACAACATCCACCCGTCCGCAAAAATCTCTGTGCTTAATACCGATCGAAAAACGAAGTTGATTTCCACCTTAAACGATGATCATGACTTACTATTAGTAACCTCCACAGTGTACCTTTGCCTTCTGTATGCTATTGTTTCGATGACCAATCAACACTTATTTACATGTATGCAGGCATACACATGCATATTCAAAGGTGTCTCGTATTTATCATATTACCTCTAAATTGAAAATTGTTTCAACCCTCGAATTCAAAATCAGTGATTGCACCAAATTCTCATTTTTTATGGGAAAAGGGTAGCACAGATTTGAGCAATTGGAATTACAGTCCTTTTCACCTCCCTTGACATTTCATTCATGGACACTAAGAAGAATTATTTGCGGTTTAACGACCAGGAATGGCATTAGAAATATTGCAATTTAATGACAAAATCGGCCTTTCTTTTCATTAACGCAGAGATATTAATTCGTTGTTTGCTTGTTAATAAGAATGGGGCGTATGTCATTAGTATGATAGATGTATACGTATAGGTATGAATCCTTTAAAGACAGTAGTAAATAGGAAGATTATCACCCAAACGCTCTTATTTATGTCACAGTTTAATTTTTAAAGTGGATATAGGCATAGATGAAAGAGTGGACGCATGAGTTAAAGAGTAAATTGAATTTTATGCTACGCCATTACAAGCTGCCGTTTCTTCTAACGTCACTACTCCTCCCTCCTTCGTTGGGTCCGACCTTCCTGCATATCCTCGTGATCTGATAGAACCACCATTTTTTGTTGACCTTTTTGCAATGGTTTGGTTACCATCGGTCTACCTCCTATGAAAAAATTATTCACGGTTACTCGTTCAAATATGCTTAGTCTGCTCTTTTGCATAAATGTCATACATCAGCGCAGATAAATGAGAATACTGAACCGTACTACAATTCTTGTTCTCTTTCCGATCTTTAAAACACCTCCTTTTCTTTAGATGCTTAAAGCATTGCAACGCAGTTATTTCTTAGTATACTTTAAACCCTTTTACTCTCTTTTCCACTGCCTTATCGTTAGTCAGGCCGAATAAGTAGTAGTGAATTTTTCTAAATCATTAAAATCACCAAAGTAAATGGTTGAATCTTACGCAGTGAAAAATACTGTGCTAGCAAAACTTAGGGTTTCCAAATTAAGGGAAAGTTTTTTGAAGTTAAAAAAGTGTAAAAGGTTTGATAAAGGTGAGATGGCTCCACGTTAGCAGTGAAGGTGTGTTGCACGATCCACATCCATAAGACGCCTTCTAGATGGCTATTTCGATATTAAGCTCCCCAGTAAATAACATTTTAGAGCCCAATAATGCGGATTTATTTGGCATGGCGCACTATACTAGAGGGTCTACCATCACGACTGGAGAGATGCAGACTGCTGTGCATCTTCTGCTGCCCGTTAAGGAGTCAAGCACGAGGTATTAAAGAGTATTAAGGTTTTTAAAGGTGATCTTGCTCTAAGTAGATGAGAGGAAATAGTGTAAGAGGAGTTGGAGGTGTCAGTGGCATCGGTTGCAGTCGTGGTGATGATAATTTTGGTAATAATGATGGTGGTTGTAGGCAGAAGAACTCCAAAGTTTGGTGGTTTGCTGTTGCTGTTGATGGAGCTGCTGCTTCTGCTGCTAAGTCTACTGCTGATTTGTGGCACTCCACTTTGCTCTATGCTGTGAGTGTCCACATCCTACGGCCCTGCTAAGAACTACCACAGCTACATTCATGTCTACTGAAGTTCCATGGCTTAATGCGACACGCATTTGTGAGTGCTCTGCCGAATGTTACTACTAAATGTGCAATTTAGCCACAGTATTTTGTCAGAAATAATGTAGCAACATTTTTGCATTACTAGCAGAAAAACATTTTGAACATATTTGCAGATAATGGTAAAAAATGAGTCCTTCTTTGATATCAATAGGCAGCTGACTCCTTGCACCAGAAACCGGGATGCAAGATTTCAACGTTATCTCCAGAGATTTGAAAGACAAATCTTAATCTAATCCATTCTTTCAATAGTGGTAAACAGACATGAGCATCAAAGATTATAACCAAGTTGCAACTCAGTCGGAGCGGATAACGTTGTAGTCAATAAACCAAATAATGTAGGCGATCACGTACATTTGTAATTGGAAAACTTATAAGTCTCACAAGTAACAGTGCTTTAAAGAATTGTTATTTATATTCAGCCTTACCTATAACATTATTAATAACTGCACGCTAAGCAATTTTTAAGCCTAGTGCGTTAAAATATGGTGAGCAAAATGGTTTAGCATTATATCACAGCAATAGGACAAAAATACAAACATTTATGCGTCCCTTAAAAAACAACAAAACTTATGTCGAGCACTGTGCAATGTATATATACATGGGTGCACCCGTATAGTGACAATCGGTTATATTGAACTAACTTCACTATCAGGCGTTTCAACGTAATAAGCACGATTTTCTCTACTTAGGAAGAAGATTTGATTTACTAACAGGCAGGATTCTAAATACAGGTTTTTTTGAATTTTTATATCAAGTGATGAGTTTGCTTGTCTAGTCTTTTCCCAATTTCGGCTATAATATTTTAAATTTTTATTATCATCCTAGGTTTCTTGTTGGCCTATACCCACCTTTTCACTTTCTTTTGTAGAACCCGAATTGATAAAATTCCTGTTTTTTTAATTTTGTAATTGCTAATACGTGACAAATTTTCATATACGCTGTCACTTTCATTAAATCCAAATCTGCCCTTGCTGCCACTGTCTAATGTTAAAGAGCTACTATCTCTCTGAACCTCTTATTATTATATCAATGTAAAAAGTTCCCTGTTTTGTTGGACTTGCATTTACTATATGCACCTATAATTTAAATTTGTTTTATTTAGAATACCAATTTAAGCTTTGGTCGTCAGGGGCCCTAAAAATTGCTTTTATCCTTTATTTATCCAGACGATGTGCTATTTTATCTGCGATCCTCAAAATACATTTATGTTCAATTTTCTCAAAATGGCAATTGACGGGCAATCCCTAAATACCCAAATTTGTCGAAGTTGTTCTGTCTTATTGTCTTGCCTATTCGCTTATGTCCAGGTTTGAGTTTTTACCACCAATCTAGCTGTCCAGTGCTACTGCAATGCTCTAAATCCATCAGTCGCAAATATTCTTATTCACGAAATGCCCCAATTCTCTTTTCAGAGAGGACTTATTGATGTTCTTAGAAGTAACAAGTGGCGTCGACAACGCTCAGTGAGAACTGTTAAACTTCACTCGCGCCCACAACACAAAAACTTGTTCATGTGGTGTGTGGCGGCGTGATACAAGCAGCCTGCAGATAATAGTTTAAGACTGGTGATACAAATGTAATCTCTGAAAAAACGATGCGTTTTGTAATCAGTGTTTCATTTTGCTTAATTTGATTAATTGGCGTCACACAAATTCGTATTGAAGAAATGTATGGGTTCTGAATTTAAGCCGGACAAAGCAATGTACAGTTAAATGCCTTTTATTACAGTGTAAGTGCAAAGTATTACCCCATTTTTGTGTTCATGTAAAAATTCCGCCTAAATACTGTCTGCTGCTATCTTAAATGAAGACCAAGGTGATTTCTTTTAAAAAATTAATTTTTGCTAGTATAACTGCATCAAAGGAAGTTGCGTTATAGTTTTAATACAGAAATACTTTATTACCGCTGCATACGATTTACAATGCAGACAAGAGAGCAGAGGAGACATAAAAGCAGATATTTTGTAGAACCACCTAATAATCTGCTAATTTGTTTTGTTATTAGGACAATTTTACAATTCAAGACAAAAGCTTAGTCTGACAGGCTTAAGTCTACGACAAGGAAATAACACAGAAGTGAAAAGAGTAACAATTTTATCAGCAACTGTTAAGCGCTAGTGCTTTTCAGTTATAAGGTGGCACTAACTAAAGTAACACAAAAAAGAAAAGTGGAGAAGGAATTAAACGCATCTCAGTAATGGTGGCAAACTGCTTTTAATGATGGGCAGCAGGCTCAGTTAAAATTATTTGCTCAAGGACCACTGAGTTTAAGAAGTACACTGTGCATTTGGAAATAGTGCACCGTAGACATTAGGTAAATCCAAAGCCACATAAAGCAAAACAATTTTCAAATGCATTTTGCAAACACTGAGTAGGAATCAAATTCGCCGCAACACCCGCTGCTAGCCACTTTTATCGCCTTTTGAGAGTTCTCCTGACATGACTTTCAGCAACTTGCACAACCGGAATGCAAGCATATGATCTACAAATCTGTTCCATAAATGGTAATTCTACCGAATATGCTGGCACTAAGGTCCGTTTCAAGCAGAGGTAGAAGAAGCAATTATAAACCAATTTAGAACAAAGCTTTGTCTTTTCTGTAATTTCATACACTCCTCTATACCACAAATTAAATTTTGTGGCATTTAGGAGATACGAATTAAATTTGAATGGCTTGCAAGTTAATGCAAAAGTTAAATGTCAGATGCAATATTTTTTTAGAAATAGAGCTGAAACATTGACTTTTTTCTCTAAGATTGCAGGTAATTCCTCTAGCAGACCAAATGAAACGAGACTGATGATGCGTTTATGTTTTGCTGTTACAATCAAACCAAATTTGTTGTATTTCGAATTAAAATGTAAAACGTCACTACCGAATGCAAATAGGTTTTACCCAAAAAGGCTGTCTTTTGCTATTTGTCACATGCACGTATTCATTAAAATAGAGTGCATTTTTTCGGAAACATTCATCAAATCTATAATGAAACCATAAATTCTTGTAAACATTCGCGAATTCAGTCCTAATCTGCAGGAAAATGAATCAGCTACTTGGTTAGACCAATCAATTGCAACATTATGCGGGCCAACTGCCATTAGTATAACCGCATTTGAACTCAAACTTAATAACAGACCCTCTGTGATATTGTTTATTCAGGCCTTTTCTGCATCATAAATAATCCGCTTTCATTATCTTCGTGGCATCTCTTTGTTTATGGTAAAGCGCTGAAATCGCACATAATGCGCCTTTTGTTGTGCGTCAGATGACCTTTGCACTTAATTTTCTTCAGTTTACTAAACAATTCTGGACCCAAGTACCATGGGACATGATGAGGCACTATGCAATACCTATTTATTTGCTCCAGTTTCATATTAATTAAATATCTAATGTTTCTTTTGTAAAAATTTAATTGCTTTTGGCAGTCCTTCTGTTCATTTCGCACCTATTTTAGTACATATGATGGAAGATAAAAAGGTCCGTTTGCGAATGAATCATAAAGTTATGGGAGCAACATCTAATGATTCTCATGATAGCCTTGTTTCTCCTGTCAAAACTATCCTGGATCATCCCACAATTCATGAAGGGTGAGTATGACGGATTAATACTTTGCAGTTGTTTAAATATTCCGACTACGAATTTTAATTAAACTTCCCTTACCAAAAGTGGTACTGGGATTTGGTTTTAAAATTTTAGTCCCATTTTATTGTAGCAGTAAAATTGCATAAGATCTACATTCTGCCACTAGACCACTCCTGTTTCTATGTAAAGAAATGATTTAATGAAACAGGTAGAAGGACTGCCTAAATGGTTGTGCACTTAAAATAAAAAAACGAGAAGTTACCTTAACGGTACTAGTCGCTTTTATCTAGCGCTACCAAAATTCAAAGAAAATGCACTGTCGTACACATATAATGAGCTTAAGGATTCGGTTTAAACTTTAGCAAATTGATCGCACAAGAAAATTTGAAACGTAGAAAGTTAGCTTAAATTAGTCATTTCAGTAAAACTATGAGGTGAAAAGTCACGCAGGAAGAATGTAGCTTACCGAACACTTTAGTTGAGTGGTAAGTGTCACTGATGTTAGTAATCTGATGAATCAAGCTTTCTGCAGAAATGAGAGAATAATCCTGGGCAATATGATGCGCAGAAATTTACTATTAATAAAAGTGCACCTTTACCAAATTGTGGCCACTCAAAGCTTTAATGAGATCTTCGAACCCATATTTGCTAATTCATTGCTTTATGCTTGTCTCAAATAATCAAAAAATTGCATCTGTTTAAATAGCCTTTAAAAACAGGCTTTTTAAATTTGTGAAAATAGGTTTAGCTCTGTTTTTTACATGCAAGTATCTCAATAAGTAAAGCAGTAAGAAGCACGTCGGCACACTTGGAATTAAGGTATAAAGGCTTTTGATTGAATTGCGCTTGGAAGTACGGGTATGAAGAAACATTTTTTTCCTCTAAATGAAGGTTGTTTACTGTAGAATGATTTTTAAACTAACACCGTGTGTTACAAATAATTATTAGTCTCGATAGTTCAATTCATGTTCCTGTTCTAAAAGTAGTTTGATCAGGGTTCCTTACTGCTAAGCTCTATATAGTGCAGCACTCGCTTACTGATGACGTTTTAATTCACTCAATTTTTAAAAATTCTGGAAAAATCAAATCCACCCAAAGTCGGTATATTGGTGTCCAAAGGTAACGGATTCGCAATCCAGCAGAGATAAATCATTTAAAAGCCGTTTCAAATACTGAAAAAAAGGAGTTTAATTAGGTAAATTTTAATAGCCGAAGATATGTAAATGCAAATGAGAGAGTCGAGTTAAATGGTTACACTAATGCATCAAAGGCAATTAATGGCACTAATCACGTTTAACTTCCTTAAAGTTAACGGCTAGCTTCCATTATTAATGTTTTGTAGGGCTAATGCTTAACAAAAATATAATGTTACTTGGACTGCCAAAATTTCCCTTTAAAATGAGTTAAGCTAAGGTCGCATTGGAAATAAAATGCATCACGTGAAATTTCTGCAGTCACGGAACGTGGCTCCTGTGGTTGTCGTACGAATACATATAGTAGCGCTGGAATTTTCAAAATTGACATGGTTTTGTAGCATCAAATCAATGAAACCAATTATGCTTTTACTGCATGACAATGCCATTGTCCAATCCCTTGTCGTATTCTTATGTGAAGCTACTCTTGGGGACCATTTTTAAGTAACCTGTTCCTCATCTACACTAAAGCAGTGCCATCAGATAATGCGTGTATGGGGTGGCGCTTCGAAGTCATTACCGATCGCTGAGGGTATGCTATAGAGGGAAGTGCCTGGTCCCACAAAGGGGTGTTTCGCATGCGTCACAAAATCACCTTTGGGTCTATGCTCAATATTTTAATGCGAATTGTAACTCGTTGAATGGGCCACATAAAGAGAAAGCACTATATGTGGAATAAGTGATTCCATCGTTCCGAGAATGCTATTGAAGCTTCATTGAATGGATCCATCGGGGAGATTGGTCCGTCTATACTGTTACTGTTGACTGACGCATCATTTGGTTTTTATCACGTCCATGGTAAGCTAAAGTTATGGTATTCCGTTGTTTTTGGACATTCAAAGGAAAGTATTTGAAGAAGGCATTTGAATCATGTGCACTGACTTGTCTTTGGTCAAAAGATTATTCTAATGTGTACGCCGATGCAATAACACAACGGCTAAATCACCGGCCATGGAACAAACACCACCTCACAGATGGTCTAAATGAGTCAAATCTTTGCGCTTGCGCTTCTCTCTCTTTACTCATTACCTACCACTGCTCACTGGTCACACATTAGTTTCCTCATCGCTGCAATTTTAACTCTCCTCGTCCATCACTCTACGTGTCACTTCGCATTTGTAAAAGTCATTTCATCATATTTTTTTTACGACAGCTTCTATAGTCCTCTTGAGCACGCTTTATTCCGCCACACACGTCGTCAGGGAGGAGGTCTGCAAACTGCTTTTCCAGTACATTCGGTAGAACTGGCTGTCAAAATGGTGCATTACAGAATTTCCGTACATCATGAGCCAGAAGAGAGCATTAGGCGGCTTTGGTGGTAATGAAGCGCAATGCTGCTTCATTTTCAAATAAGTCAAGTTTGTGACACTGACTTTGTTCTAAAATGAATAAAAAATTAGATTACTAGAAGTCAAATGGGCAATTGTTATGCATAGAAAGGGATTTTAATTAAGATATCGGTAAGCTGGATATCCTTGAAGAAAATATAGGCAGATGTAAGCAGTGGAAAATTTATGTTAACTTTAGGTTAATCCACTAAAATTCGCTACATCTAGAGGTGCTATCAACCCACGCACAGAACAACGCCAACACCTGCTATACTATGGACCGCTGCTTATCTAAATTTGTCAACATGCTCATCTCTAGACTTAATCTGATCCACAATAGGGTGGTGAGTTATGGCCTTTGGAAATTTTGACACCTACAAAAGTGCTATAATTACCAACGTGGCTTTTGTCAGGTTAATAGTTTTGGGATGAAGCCAGGGATCAAGCTGAGTGAGAAGTATTGGGATGGATGGGCAGCACATTGGGTTGTGTAAAGCCTGTTGCAATTGAAACGGAAGTAATGGGAGAAGGGAGGAGCAGCACCGGTAAGGACGCACGGATGGTACGATTAAGCGTGAGTGAAGTGGAAATATGAATAAATTTTGGGTAAAACAGCTCATCATGCAGATCGTGTGAATATGAGAGGGGAAAGAAGAAGAGGGAGGAATAAGTAGATGTGGATGAGGAATGTTACAAATCCTACAGAAAGGAGAGGCGATGGAGGATACTTAGGAGGAGCTGAGGCG